AACACAAATTTCCTTTATTGTGTTGTTGGTTTTGTTTTATTTTTGGATTTTTTTTTTTTTACTATAACTTGGATAATCTTGTCAGGAGCCTAAATACAAAATGACTTTCAATGTCACAGGCTACGGGGTTTCAATCTTCAAGAAACTAAAGCAGTATCATTAGATTGTGTTACTTTCATTCTGATTAACTCTCTTTGTTTTCTCTACTTTATGACCGACCATGAACCTGCAGTTTCTAAAAGTTAAGTTCGTCTGTAGTTAAAATTAACGATATAGATTTCCACATTTCTAGTTTCACACAGATGCTTTGTTATGTCTAGAAGAGCAACCGTTTCCTTTTTATAGCGCAGGCTCTGCTTCTTCAAAGCTCTCTTCACAAAGCAGACCCCCCCCCACCTCAAGAATCCAGCTGTGGCTGTTAATCTTGGCTGATAGTAGAGAGAAACTTGTAATACTACAGATTCTTAACCTGTAAAACACAATTAATAACAAAATACAGTTTAGTATACTACTCCTTCTGGTGCAACTAACTCCAGGATTTTCTCCAAATATCCCAAAAGTATTCCCCATTTTCCCAAATTATAGTTTGCTCTTTAGGGACTAAGAGGACCAAAGAAAACATCAAGAAAAAAAACTACGCCTTTAATTTTCACAGGATGAGCAAACTAAACAATCTCTGCTATGCACAAGGGTTTACACTGCATAATTTTTCATTAAACCACACACATTTCCCCTACACCTCACTGGGATCTTCTTTAGCAATTCATACTTCTACATCCAAACACCATTAAAATGAATTTTCACTAAAGCTGAACCTTGAAGATAATAAGGATCTGTCTTTCATTTGTTACATTCTGAAAAGAAAAAAAAATAATTTCCTTCCCAGTATACAAATTCGTAATACTTTCTAAAACAAGGCAGATGATGTGACTAGACAGAACACCTACCAGATCCATACAAACAGGTATATTATATATATTTTGCTTGTCTGTTTTTAATTGAGAAAACAAGACAGTGTTCCCTAGTCCTTTTTAATTCACCTTTTTTCATTTCCCTGGTATATAGCACAATTGAGGTGACACTCTATAGTATTTAAAGTCATGTCTCCAAAAATAGTCTGCACCTTGATTTTACCTAGTAAATCTGAAAATAAATGAAGCCACTTCTATGCATATTAACACAACAGCTTGATTTTTCTACCAACAATACCTACAATAAAAACAGCTAACATCTGAGTGCTTACTATATACTAGATAAGTGTACTAACTGATTACCTTATTTAGTCCTCACACCAGCTTATAAGTACGAGTATCACACCCATTTTATAGATGAGGGACTGAGGAATAGAGAATAACTTGTCAAGATCACACAGTTAGTAAATAACCAAGTATTATTACACTGATTCTTAAGTTTTGAAAGACCTAGATAAAAGTAACCTGCTGAAGGTATTAGAATAATAAAATTCAAAGTTCTCCAACTTTACTTGGAGTACAAAGGCAACAGACCAAATGAATCCCAAGATCTTTGTTCTTTTTATTAATCAGACAAGTTAAAAATGAAAACACTAGTTTTATAAAGTAGAAGCTTTTTCTCAGACCCGCTGTCATCAAGGTGGTAAAATTTGCCATTAATTCAATCTATGGTTTGTTTAGGTTGACAGTGGCAAATTGCCTTGGTTTAACGGTCCTCAAACTTCTCTCATACGCTCAACTTGCTCCAACTATCAAAAGTATACAGTTCATGAATTCCCGAAGACTTATCCCAAAGTTGTCACATCTTTAAGCACATACTTGCTCTGGTAAATATGAACTACGGACAAAAAGTCAGATTTGTATTATCCTCACTAAATGACTGACGTTCCTGTTTGTGGGTTGTTTTGTGTTTTGTTTTTGCATTATGAAAATGTCCATATGGGTGTTTGGAAGCCTTGGCATCCGATAAGGAAGGTCAAATTACATAGTACATAATGCTTTGATAACCCATGAACAACACTCTATCACTGGCAATGAACATAGTTCTCTGGCTACCCCACGATCATATTACCAGGTAAACTGGAACCCTTACTTTGAGATAAAACACAGCAGACAGTTGTTAATGAAACCTTAATTGAACTGTCAAAGCACCATCTTTACCAGCAAGCTAATAGGTAATTCACCACTTTTACACAACTGTCCAATACTGATAAGTTATTCTACTAGTTAAATTCAGCAGAAAGATAAATCAAACCTGGTAGACTAAATTATTCAGTGATAAATCTGAGTGGTAAAGTGCCACATCACTTCTACAAATACCTCTCCCTGGCTACAAGGAGAACAATATCCCTCAAAATTACATGCAACTTTTTTAGCCATCCATTAGTACCACTGGGTGCATTTCCAGAAAAAGAAATGGGGACAGATATAGTTCCCTTTCATATCCTATGCCGGAAAAATATTTGCAAAATTTGGCCCTACAGTAATGCATTAACTGAATGTGTTTGAATCTAAGTGAACCTTATAACACTCAAGTCATTATATGGTATGGTGGTTTGAATCAAATGATATATCACTGGAAAAATACTATGTTCCATTTTAATCATTTTGGAAAACAGTTGTTTCAGACTTATTAGGTACTTTCTAAGTTAAAATGAAAAATTCTGGTTCAGTTAAAAAAGTAAAAAACTTACTATCTTTAGCTTGGGTTTCAGAATACTACTGCAATTCACTCTGGTTTGGTGTTCAAAATTTCTAGGTTTAGCAATCCTACTTAGGTCATAATAGCAGTTAAGTTCCAAAGATAATAAGCAATTTCAGACAGCAAGTCATCAATACGTAACTGTAAAAATAGAAACACATTTGCATACTAAAACACACACCTGGAACTCTTCCTTTTTTTTTCCGTGCCAATTTGTGTTTCACCTGTAACAGCTGATAAACACACTTGAAGCAACTAAGAACAAAGAAGGCCCTGACTAGGAGATGAATTAACCAAGCAGCAAAGATGCCACAGCACAGTGCTGGGGAGAAAAAGAAGTAATAGAAGGCAAAGTTCTTACCCTCAAGGGGCTTAGTTACAAATGCAGTAAGTGAGACAAGACAAACATGAAACTGCTGTACAACAGATGGTGCATTCCAAGTACTCGGTACAAACAGTACAAACTCCATACGTGTCAGAAGGGGTCAAACAATGAAAGAGCTCTAAAACCGATTCAAATCACATTTAGGTTTTCAAGTATCAGTGATTCATAGTACCCACTACCTACTCCTGTCTTAGAAAACCTTTTCTCTTAAACTTGAACAGTTAAAAACTTCGACAAGTCATATCACCCTTTGATGGAGGTTGTAGGTAAATAACGCCTTTAGAATTCAGTCAGTAATGCTGCAACCTATTTCCCTTTCAGTGACCCTAGTTCTTAGCACTGTACAACAAAGCACTGAAATGAAAGACAGCATCCAGATCTAAGAAAATTCGAACAAATTCTCCGTCAGTAAATCAGTGACAAAGTTGAAAGCAAGGAACAACGTTTTTCCTGTGTTTTTCCCCCCTACGGAAGCTTTGAAATCCTCAAGGGTTAGGCAAGGAATGGAAGTTCACAGTGAAACCCCTGTGGATAGAATATGGAAGGGAAGAGAGGACGACAGGAAAGAAGACAGGAAAGGCAAGTCCCTGAGCAAAGCGACTGAAGAGCCACTATTAACAGCTCCACTCCCTTTCCCACTAGGAATCCCCACACCTTGGAGAAAGGAGCAATGCAGCAATAACCTCCTTGGAGATCTAGCTGGTAAAACACCGGACTCTACTAGTTTTAAAAAAACTGATTAGATCACTTAGTAGATTATAAAATTTGAAATATAAATAAGGATGGCCAGATATAAAGCAGAAATGATACTCATACCAATTACAGCCTCAAAAACAATGACGAAAGGAGACATTTACAGGGCTAGTTCCAAAGAGTTCATTTTCCTGTGGTGATGGGGGCTTTTGTAGACATTCACAAGAATTAATTTTAGAAAGAACTGAAAAACATCAATTCATCTATCTACATTGGAATACCTAATCTTTGAAAAAAAATAACCAGTTTCCCCTATAACTGTTTTGATAGGAATAAGGCTTTACATTGATAAATGCATTTTATTATAAACTACTAATCTTCCTAGGAAGGACAAACGAAAATGTAGCATTTAAGATCCTTTAGGCTTTCTGAAAACATCCTAGCACTAGTGAAGGTAGTTTCATGTGTTTAAAAAGTATACTTCCTTCTACACAACTCCAACTAAGGGATAACAGCAACTTAAGAAGACACTAAATGACACTAACACATTACAATGAATGTGGGCCACTGCATAGCTACAGTCTACTGACCTCATTTGGGGTACTCATGTGTGATGCTATATTTAATGCATTCTTATCAAAAGGCTAAAGCTACATGCTTCCCAACTGTAGCTTTATGGTTTAAAATAAATCACTCAAGCAATGATCCTAACTAGTTCAACTATGAACGCCATCTCACTCCTGGGGGTCAAGATCACAAAATAAGAAATGAAATGACTGAAAGGATAATGAAAGTAATTATGCAACATATATCCCAATGACAAGGCTTATAAGGAACAATTTGGGGTCAGTTGTGACATTTGCCACAACTGGGCAACTGAGCCACACTAAATCAAACATGAGAAAAGATGACCAAGGTCTTTCTAGGAATAAGTATCTCATATATTCGTCTACTGATCCTACATTTAGAACCTTGCTTAGGTTCTAAATAGAAAAGTTTGGTAGACAGCAAACTTATATGTGTTACTCCTCAGTGGGTGCTTCACCAAAATTTCCCATGACTCAAAAAGCATAAGCCTAGATAGCCAACACATTAGGCCTCTTTACCACACAAGTGAGGGTGGCTTCCTACAGTTGAGCTGAAAAGCTTGCTCCACTTTGGTCAACTGTGAGAACCATGAGGGCTGACTCGACCAATCACAACCATGAGAAGAAACCACAAGAAGTCGTGCTTTGCTTCTGATACTCACCAGACAACACCAAAAGCTCCATATCCAATAGGTCTATCCGGCTCAATATCCAGCTGCTGTTGTGGATGATGCGAGTGCTGATGATGGTGAGCCTTAACTGTAGCAGCTGTGGCAGCCTGTACCTGAGCTGGGGCTGCTGCAGCTGGTCCAGGAGCCTGACCCGGTGCCGGTGATGGGAAATATGACTGTTGTTGCCCAGGGTTTAACATGGCTGCAGCTGCGGCCGCTGCTGCGGCTGCCGCAGCTGCCGAAGAGGTATGCTGCTGTACAGGGTGTACAGCAGCAGCCGACCCCGGATGAAGATGGTGTTGAGGGTGGTGGTGGTGGTGAAGGTGAGGAGGAGGGAGGTGTGGAAGGTGGTGGTGATGGTGGTGGTGGTGACCTGCTGCTGCTGCAGATGTACCGCCATTGTAAGCCGCCATCATTTTTGCGTTGGCTCTTGTGCCACAAAGAGACATTCAAAAAATGCCCTTTGATTGGAAAGCAAACTGGGTCAAGCTGTCATTTGGCCATTTAAAAATGAAGAAAACCACTCACTCCACCTCAAAAAACATAGAGCGGAAACTGGCTTTATGTCTTCATCAGTCAATCCACACAAGTTAGAGGATCTTGGTGTTTAATTTTGGGGTGTGTGTGGAAGGGTGTGGGTTGCCAAAAAAATAAAAGAAAACAAAAAAGAAAAAGGAAAAAAGGTCCCCTTCCCCCCAGGATTCCAGCCACAAGTGGATACTAAAACTCCATTCTTAATTTGGGGGGGGTTCCAACTTTGAATGTGGGAATAAAGGCCAAACCTCCCGACCCCCTGAACTCCACACACGAAAAGGATCAGGTAACACACCACCCTTGGAATCTTGTAACAGGGTTGACTCATCTACCCCTTCCATTCCCACATCCTTTTCTGAACACCTACCACCTCCTCAAAAACACGATCTTAAAAAACTGCAACCACCCGAAATTAAAAAGATGGGGGAATTTTTCAGGGAAAACAACTTCCCCCCCGCCTCGAACTCTCAGGCCTTCCTACATCTCCCCCTACTCCTAGCTTACTAGTCAGGTTGACCTGATGGTGGGGGGTAGGGGGGGATGGCAACTAAACTTTCCTGGGTAGAACGAGCCAGGGAAGGAGGCAGGAGGGATAGAGTGAGGAGAGGAGGCGACAGGGCAGGACACAGAGAGGAGAAAGAGAACCGGGGCAAAGTGAAGGTAAGGAGGTGCAGGGAGGAATGAAGAAGGAGAGGTGGGCAGCACTCGGACGCCCGGAGGGAACCGCCCCGGGATGAGGTTAGGGTCCCGGGGCCAAAGAATAGGAGCCCCGGGAGGCGGGCGGGGTACAGTCGGAAGCGGGCTGACTCCTGCCCCCGCCGCCGGCTGCTACAGCTGAGGAGGGTTGGGGGGGAGAGCGGGTGGGTCCCCCCGCGCGATGGCCCCCGCAGGGCTCAAGGCTGCTCCGTCTCCCCCCCTCCCCCCCACCCGGCTTCAGTCCCCGCGGCCGCTTTCTCTTCAGCCGCCGCCTCCTCAGCCGCCGGTGCCGCCGCGGCCGGACTCACCTCCCCTAGCAAAGCCGGATAGAGCGGAGCCAGCGGCGGACACGCGCAACCAGCCGCCGAGGCCCCGCCCCCGCCTCACACTGACCGGCTGCCCTAGCCAATCCACGCCCACCTGTCCGCGTCCGCCTCCAATCCTGGGCTGGGAGCTTCAGACAGGCGCACTGTTCGGCCAGTGGCAGCAAGGTGTGGGTCTCCTGGGGAAATCCCGCCCCCGATCCGGGATGGGCAGATAGAAAGACCAATCAAAAGGCAAAGTTTGGCCTGACAGACAAGGCTAAAAGCGAATGGAAAGCCAAAGATCTCCGTGACATTTTCTTTTGCCTCTCTCCTCTTTTCTTTTTCTTCTTTTATTTTTTTGGCAGGAGCAGGAAGCTGCGTGCTAATCCCGCCTGCAAAAGCTGGAAGAGAGGGGCGGAATGAAAGAACCAATCATGAGCTGGGGACAAAGAACAGAGCAACCAATCCTTGGGTTAAAGATGAAGTAGGATGGGGCTGGAGTCAGATAGACACCTGATTTGACAAATGGAAAAAAAGAATTCATCTCGGTCCCGCCCTTCAGATCTCTTATAGGGCAGGATTGTGGAGAATTCGCTGTCATATCGGTTACGACCTCTTCGAGGGGCGGTGCCAAGTAAAAGGGGTGTGGTCTGAAGATTAAAGGGGCGGGGCATACGAAGAAGGTGGAGTCCAAATTATTTGCTAGTTCACTGATAGAAGCCATCTACTACCCCTTTTTCAGGTGCAAGGTGTGGAGAAATAGGGGGAGAAAAGAAGGATATCGCGTCTCAGAAACTCAAGGTCCAACGTTACTCACCCAGACAGTCGCAAAAGAAACTCAATAAATTTGGCAGTTCATAGTCTAATGGCTTGTCTCCATGGCTAATCCTGATCTTGACAAAAAGCGGCCTTATCTCCAGCAGTCAGAACTCCACTCTCAACAGATGATACGGATTAAATAAGAATGAAATTAAATTAGAATTTATTCTTAAATAATAAAAATAATAATAAACTTAACCACAGAGATAGTAATTTCCTCCTTATTTTCTAAGTCAAGTAAGTTCTGTTCATTGAAATCTTACTAAAGTAACATCTTTCTTTCATATAACCTCACTTACCTAAATTTACTCTTCTTTTAAAATATGAAATAATAAGCTTACAGAACCTTACGCGTAGTAAAACTGCGCTCAGAAACCTAGAAGTCATCCTTGATTCTTCCTTTGCCTCCCTGCTCCTCCGCTTCCAATTCATCATTAAGTCTTACACACTTCTACCTCTCCTCTTCTCTCCAGTCACCACATCATTACCCAAACTTAAGCCACTAGCATCTTTACGGAGTCCCCGAGTGGTGCAAACGGTTAACGCACTTGCCTGCCAGCCAAAAGAAAGGAAGTTGGAGTCCACCCAGAGACATCTTGGAAGAAAGGCCTGCCAATCTACTTCTGAAAACCCAGCCATTGAAAACCGTAGGGAGCACTGTTCTATACTCTGTCTTTCCTCTAATCCATTCTCCACCAGGGACACAGTAATCTTTTAAAAATACAAGTCAGACCATGCCATTCCTCTGATTGAAACCTTCCAATGACTTCCCACTACACTTGAATAAAGTCAAAAAACCTAAATGGCCCAGAATGATCTGGTTCCTGTGAACCTCAATGTCCTTATCTTCCACCTCCACTTTCTACAATTCAGGCATTCTGAACTTCTTTCAGATCCTCAAATGCTTTGTTTCCTTCAAGCCTTCATGCATATCTTCAGCCCAAACACTTCCAACTCACCCTTCACTTCCCTTGACAACTTTCACTCACCCTCAGGTCTTCATGCAAATTTCACTTTTTTTTTTTTTTTTTCTGGAAAGCTTTCCCTGACTCTGTTCTAGAGTATATGTCTCTGCTATATATCTCCATGGCACTGCCTCCCTCATAGCACCGAGAACTCTGTATTCTAATTGCTGATTATGTTTATCCAGGACTGAGTTTGTCCCACTCAATCTTGTATCCCCAGTTCCTAGAACAGTGCCTGAAAAATGGAAGCCACTTGCTAAAGATTTTTATGAATTATTGAGTGCAGGAGAAGGGGGGTACAAATCCCAGCTCTGTCATTTACTAGCTCTATGACTTAGGCAATTTAGCTAACCTTTCTGAGCATCAATTTCCTCAACTGAAAATGAAAATATTTGCTTCATCAAGTTGATGTGAGAATTAAATGACATAATATATTTTTATTTTTATTGTACTGTAGGTGAAGGTTTACAGAACAAATAGTTTCTCATTAAACAGTGAGTACACATATTGTTTTATGACATTGGTTAACAACCCCACAACATGTCAACACTCTTTTCTCGACCTTGGAGGACTTTTTTTTTTTGATGAAAATATACGTAGCCACAGATACACCTTTTCAGAAATTTCTACATGTACAATTCAGTGACATCAGTTACATTCTTCTACTTGTGCTGCTATTCTCACTATCCTTTTCCAAATTATTCCATCACCATTATCTTCAACTCGCTGCTCGCTAGGCGTCCTAGCAAACCTTTTGAGTTGCTGTTGTCAATTTGATCGCACATAGAGAATTCTTTTTTTTTTTTGTACCTTAGATGAAGGTTTACAGAACAAATAGTTTTTCATTAAACAGTTCGTACACATATTGCCTTATGACAATGGTTAACAACCCCACGACATGTCAACACTGTCCCTTCTCAAACTTGCGTTCCCTATCACCAGCTTTCTTGTCCCCTTCTGCCTTCTAGTCCTTGTCCCTGGACTGCTGTGCCTCCTTAGCCCTGTTTTGTTTTATGGGGCTGTCCAATCCCCAGCTGAACGGTGAACCTCGGGAGTGACTTCACCTCTGAGCTAAAAGGGTGTCTGAGGGCCATACTCTCAGGGTTTCTCCAGTCTGTCAGGCCAGTAAGTCTGGAAATGAAGTAATATATTTTCAAATGCTTGGCAAATAGTATAAGTTTAATATATGTTCATTCTCTTTCCCTACTCCTACTCTACTTTAATACGCGGGATGCCTGTCGGTTTCTCCAGGCGTTTTGCACATCAGTCTCATTCAAAGTGTAGCTTACTAGAAGCTTGTTAAAAATGCAAATTCTCAGGTTCCACTCCAGACGTACTGAATCAGAAGCTCTTACACACTGCGGTGAAGCCCAGGAATCTGTGTTTAACAAGCCCCCCAGGTAATTTTTACACGTAATAAAGTGTGATAGCCCGTGACTTAGTGGAAAGGGACTGAGTCTTCTTAAGCTTTGTTTACTTTTCAGCACCTAGTATAGTATCTAGCCACCACCACTTGTCAGTTTGTCATGTTGTGGTGGCTTGCATGTTGCTATGATCTGGAAGCTATGCCACTGATATTTCAAATACCAGCAGGGTCACCCATAGTAGACAAGTTTCAGTGGAGCTTCCAGACCTAGACCGAGTAGGAAGAAAGGCCTGGTGATCTACTTCTGAAAATTAACCAATGAAAATCTTACGAATCACAACAGGACATTGCTCATCTTGCTTGCTTTGGGCATGTTATCAGAAAAGATCAATCATGTTTGGTGAAGTAGAGGGCCAACGAGGGGGTAAGAGACCCTCAGTGAGATGGATTGGCACAATAGCCATAACAATGGACTCAAACATGCTGGCAATTGTGAGGATGACACATAGCTGGGCAATGTTTCGTTCTGTTGTACATGAGGTTGCCATGAGCTAGAGTCTACTCGATGGCAGCTAACAACAACAACATAGTACCTAGCACATAGAAAGTGCCCAGTACATGTGAGATAAATGAATTAATACAATCCACCAGGAAACAGTTGCACACTGAGAGTTATTTGTTCCTTCCACAGACATTTATTACGTCCTAACTGTACCTAGGCACGGTGTTAGTTTCAATGATGGAGAGGGTACAATGATATACTAACAAAGTATCTGCCCTCCAGGAGCGCTAAGTGTGGTGCAAGAGTTTCCAAAATGGTGAGCACACACTCCAGGTGGTGCATAAATTGATCCATTAGGCTCCAGGAAGAAATTAGTACAACTTCTATTTATTTTTATTTCACCTTTAAAAAATGTCAGTGTTTCATACTGTACATAATACAGAGTAGTGCGCATGTATGTAATTTAGAAATAAATAAAAATACACATTTTGGGAAGTTGTGCTAAAAAAATTATCAAAAATATTGAGAAATCATTGATCTAGTAACCATTCAATGTTCGTGGATCGGATCAGCTCTGTCCAATAGAAATATAATGAGAGTCACATATAAATTTTTAATTATTATAGTGGTTACGTTAAAAAAGTAAAAAGAAACAGGTAGAATTATTTTTAATAATAGATTTTATTTAACCCAATATAGCTAATATTGTCATTTCAACATGTACTCAATGTAAAAAATTAATAAGATAGTTTGCCATTTTTTTTTCTTTTTTGATAGCAAGTCTTGAAAATCTGGTGTATATTTTGCACTTACAGCCCATCTCAACTCAATTAAAAATTCCATTTCCTCAGCCACACTAGCCACATTTCAAGTGCTCATTATCCACGTGTGGCTCATGGCTACCATATTAGACTGCACAGATCTAGATCGTGAGTTGGAATTCCTGCTCAGCCCCTTACTAGCTGTGAAAACTTGGACAAATTCCTTAACTTACGTTAGTCTGAATTTCCTCATCCATAAAATAAAGAGGATCCCTGCTTTCTCCAGTGGTTGTGATGATTCAGAGACAATGCGCAGAAAGCTTGTAGCCCAGAGCCTGCCTGGCACCTCATCAGTGGCAGTAAGTGGGGTGGTTATTATTAGTATTACAATCCAAGGCAAGGTGTCCTAAGTGTCAGATGA